TGCAGTATGTTAAAACAAGACATCTTTTCTTTAATCCTAATTCTTCTAGGATTAAATTTCAGTGGGTGACCTCTGTATCTGATCAGAAGTTCATCCACTTTGTTACTGATTTTAGGCATTTTATTAAATGAAGACATCTCAAATGAAAAAGGGGTTTTCCTCCATCAAGGCACATAATTAAATATTATTATCCTTTTCTGTACCAAGTGAATACTAAGTTAACTTTCTACATCTTTTTTCTTCTTCTATGCATCTTGTATTTAAATTAATTACTTGTTAATGTTTTTTTATAGAATAACAGAGTTGGAGGGGATCTTGGAGGTCTTCTAGTCCAACCTCCTACTCAGGCAGGAAACCCTATACCATTTCAAACAAATGATTGTCCAATCTCTTCTTTAAAAACCTCCAGCAATAGAGCACCTACAAATTCTGGAGGCAAGTCATTCCAATGATTAATTGTTCTAACTTTTAGGAAATTTGTCCTTGGTTCTCTTCTTGATTAGTCTCCATCCATTGCTTCTTGTCCTGCCTTCAGGTACTTTGGAGAATAGCTTGACTCTTCTTTGTGGCAGCCCCTGAGATATTGGAACACTGCTATCATGTCCCCCCTCGTCCTTCTCTTCATTAAACTAGACATACCCATGCCTGCAACCGTTTGCTCTAAGCTGCCAAAAATATTAGGGCAGGGATGGATTGTGGTTCCTTCAATCTTCCTTTCAGGCAGGAAAATTGCTCTTGGGAGGAGTAGCTGTCTTCTGTCATGCTTTCTTGATTGCCAAGTATAACTACATAGCTCTTTCTTAGGAACCTGTTTCATGTTCCAGACAAAGCATGAAAAGCAACAGAAGCAGTCTTGCCTGGAAGAAGACACTTCCCACATTGGTTTACACTATATTCTTATTCCCCAAGACAAGAATTTAAATTTGGGAGAAAGGATCTAACCTTTCTTTATTCATAGTAACAATTTTTGATACATTGCTCTAGTTTGCCTTGACAAAATATCATTGATATATTCTTAATTTCATTAACAGTTTGAGCCTCAGATTTTAAAAATAATTACATCATTTAATGCATAAAGTTCAGGATCAAAGTAATGAAAACATTATTGACTATCAAGCTCACTATATCAAAAGTCTTGGGACTATTGACTTAGTAACTGGAGAAAAAATGACAAGATAACAATAAATATTTTCAATGGACATTTCTGTTATTTCCATTGAACTTAGATTAGGCTAATAAACAACTAAAGGGAACAACTGGAGCTGCATGGAAGGAAATATTAGTTTCAGCCATAGTGTGTTAATTAACATAAAATAATTTTTGTACTGAATTTCATCTAAATTTTATCTTAATGATATTTTTCAGGAATGACTTTGTATAAAATGAGAGATACTATATGATAATCCTTAGAGCTTTTACATAAGACTAACGTCAGATATTTATACGTATCGAGATGACTATAACAGATTTTCATTACCTTATTTAAAAAGCAAATTCTAGACTGTCAGAAGACAATGTATCATGTACTTTTTTATCCTGGATTGATGATTGCAATTGTCTACTTAAGATTTTCTTAAACTTTTTTCCTCTTAGGAACCCTTCCCACTTTTAAAAATTATGAAGGTTCCCCAAAGAGTTTTTATTTTTATGGGTTATATCTATTGATATAATAAATATAGATATAGATGAATTAAATTTATCTATACTGAAAGCCAGATTTCTTTATTTGCATCCTGCATAGACTGTAGTGTATATAATAGTGAGGTTACCTATCCATCCATCCATCCATCCATCCATCCATCCATCCATCCATCTCCCTAGTGTCTAATGGTATATCCCCTTCTCACGGAGGTATTCCTCGATATGAAAATTTAAGGTAACTATTTGCCAGTCTCCAATCTTCCCATATTAGAGAAAGCTGTTGAGAAACTACATGACACCTTCAATAAACACATGCATATACTTTTTTTTAATTGGATGCTTCAAACTATGCTATGGAATTATATTAAGACACCTATAAAACTGTAGGGACTTGTCCAGGTAGTTTCCAAGAATTGGACAGTGTAAACAGATTTTTTTAAAAAAATATCTGCTTATGATATTTCCTAATCTAATATATGAGGGCAATTTGAAAATAAACCTCCATTTAGTTATTAATGACAGTCACTCGCAGATACAGAACTTTTATTATACACATTAGAAAATTACAACATTACATTACTTTTCTACATAATAGCCATTCAAATTGAGGAAGTTGTCATAACATCTTACAAGTTTTGAAATTCCTTAGTAGTAGTCACTCGGCGCCAAATCTGGGCTATGACGGGGGGGGGGTGATCAAAAACATCCAAATGGAACTTCTTCAAAAGTTCTTGGGTATGTCTAGCGATGTGCGGGCGAGCATTATCATGAACCACCACCCCACCGGAAGTCAGCATGCCCCAACGCTTGTTATGGATGGCTTGTCTGAGTTTTTGTAACGTTTCACAGTAGACTTCTTAATTGATCATCGAACCATGCTCCATGAACTTCACTAGTAGTACTCCTTTGGCATTTTCACATTTGGCAAAAAGTTTTATAGCACCACTTCCGGTGTGGTGATGGTTCACGATAATGCTCGCCAGCATACCACTAGACCCACCCAAGAACATTTGAAGCAGTTCTGTTGGAATTTCAAACCTTGTAAGATGTTATGACAAGTGCCTCAATTTGAATGGCGATTATGTCAAAAACTAATGTAATGCTATAGTTTTCTAATGTGTATAATAAAAGTTCTGTATCTGCGAGTGTCTGTCATTGATAACCAAACAGAGATTTATTTCCGAATTGCCCTCATAGAATGAGCTGACTGCCATATGCCAGGACTACTATAACTATTAGATGTTACCACCATGCAGTGATAGAGTTTGGGGTTCTGTGCTTAATGCTCCAGCAATGATCTATTGGTTTGGTAATGACTGGCAATACACATATTTCATTATTTAATTACTGTAATTTTGATAACTGCTAATCCAGTGATGTTAGTTATTCACCCATTCCTATTATTGCTAAAGTAACATTCTCTTTGGCTAATCTGACCCTTCCTGCCTTTAATTTATATGTGTTGCATTAAATTAAGTAAATACTTGAGAACATTTCATATAGTCAATATATACCTTTTGTCTATTTTGTTTTGGGCTAACAATAATTAAATTGTCTGTCTGTCTGTCTGTCTGTCTGTCTATCTATCATCTATCATCTATCATCTATCTACTTACCTATCTATCTACCTACCTACCTATCCAATTTATATGGCTTTCCATCTCAATTTCATGACTCTGGATGGCTAACAACAATTTAAAATTATATAAATTATATTTAAGAAAATGAAAAATATAAAAACCATACCAGCACAATCAGATGCCATGGTACAAAACCACCAATAGTAATGAATGCAGCCACTACACAAGCTCTACCACACATATGGATCCTCAAGCCCTGTGGCAGAACTGCCAGGTCTTTAAGGCCTTTCAAAAAGCCAGCAGGGCCAGGTCCAATCTAACCTTCAGGGAAATGATGTATCAAAGGGCAGACCCTATGGCAGAGAAGAGTCTCTTCATGGGTCCTGCCAGACCACATTCCTTAGTAGACTTAATAAGTACCTACCATATAGTGCAAGAATCTTTAAAAATACCTTTAGAGGTATCCATCTGACCATTTTTCCATTGTTGCCTTGGATTGTGCCATACAACTTCAATTCACTAGGTTTCATTTTGCCCACAGTGAATAATATCGTGTTCTTTTGAAACTCATACACAGCCAATTTATGTAGAAAAGAACAAAGCAATTTTTGTTCTAGTCATTGTCTCTGTTAGTACAGCCAGACTGTATTATAATGTGATTTAGAAAAAAAAGTCTGCACGTACAAAGACAAATAAATCCTTATTCTGAAACAGAATGTTCAGTCCATTGTGAGTTCTGAGGAAATTTGGATGCCTATCAATCATCTTTTCAATGTCACTCAATGTAAATTGGTAGCATTAGTATATATAACTCAGTGGCTCTCATTATTTAACATGTAGTAGGGCACTTCAGGAAAAAGATTAAAAAATTGGATCAGTTCAACTCTGGCTGAGACTAGCACAGGCAGGAGCTATACTAACTGGAGATCTTTGTTTGAAAATAAAATCAGAATCCTTGACAGGATTGCTTGAAATAGCCATGTTAAAATAATGCATTTAATATAGATAAGGGATGGGGAGATTTAAACCATACTATCCAGCTATGTTGTTGTCAATACATATCTTTCTAGTGGGGGAAAAAAACACATGTGTCAGGATTCCTGAAAGCCAATGTGAACTTATATCACTGAACATGCATACATCAAAACATGCTGCCAATTTTAATTATTAAACAGATTGACATGGCCACCCAACTCACTCATAGATGACTCCATGCTGTTTAGAAAGGGGATAGGGAGCAGACACATCAGCTTTGGAAAATAATTAATTCAGGATATGGAAAGAAGTTATAAAGAAAACTTTAAAAGTCATGCTTATTCAGCTTCACTGTTCATTAAACTATGGCCACACTTCAAGCAAACTCTATAAAATGGACTTTTCAGGTTCTAAAAGATTATGCCTGGCTGTCCAAGTGTTTGCTCTGTGGTTACAAGGGAAGAATACTATAATAATGCAAAGAATGCTATGCTAATAGGAGAAAATGCTTTGTTCAAATTATGTGGGTTTCCGTCAAAACTATTTTCATGTTATTTCCCTATGGTAATAACCTTTATTTCCTTTATTATTTGCTTCTTCATGAAATTTTTATTTCTATTTCTTACTCCCTCAGCAACAGTTCTCATTTTCTTCTTGGCTGAGTAACATTGCTACCATCTCTTTTTTACTCCAATATATTCATATTCATTTCTCTTCGTTAATCAAATCATCAATCCACTAGGCCTACTTGATAGTTACTTCCAGATAAGCAGTCTTATTTATTCTACATTTTTTTACTCTTAGATGGATGAAATGCAGTGGGGCAAAGGAGTGAAGAAAATTCCTTCTTCAGTCTGCAGTCTTCCCTGTAAACCAGGAGAACGAAAAAGGATTATGAAAGGGATGAGCTGCTGCTGGCAGTGTGAACTGTGTGATGGTTACCAATACCAGTTTGATGAAGTGAGCTGCAAGCTGTGCTCCTACAATCAACGACCAAATGAGAATCGCACCGGATGTAGCCCTATCCCTATTGTAAAGTTGGAGTGGCATTCACCATGGGCAGTCATCCCAGTCTTTCTGGCCATGCTTGGAATTATTGCCACCATATTTGTCATGGCAACCTTCATTCGGTACAATGATACTCCCATTGTGAGGGCTTCTGGAAGGGAACTTAGCTATGTTTTGTTGACAGGAATCTTTTTGTGTTATATCATCACTTTCTTGATGATTGCCAAGCCAGATGTTGCTGTGTGTTCTTTCCGGCGTATCTTCCTGGGATTGGGAATGTGCATAAGCTATGCTGCCCTGTTGACTAAAACAAACCGTATCTATCGCATATTTGAACAGGGCAAAAAATCAGTGACAGCACCCAGGCTTATTAGCCCAACATCACAATTAGCAATCACATCAAGTTTGATATCAGTACAACTTCTTGGAGTTTTCATTTGGTTTGCTGTTGATCCACCAAACAGTATTATAGATTATGATGAACATAAGTCTATGGAACCAGATCAAGCCAGAGGCGTTCTCAAATGTGACATTACGGATCTACAAATAATATGCTCTTTGGGGTATAGCATCCTCCTAATGGTTACATGTACTGTTTATGCCATCAAGACTCGGGGTGTCCCAGAGAATTTTAATGAAGCCAAACCCATTGGATTCACTATGTACACTACATGTATAGTATGGCTTGCCTTCATTCCAATATTTTTTTGCACTTCCCAAGCAGCTGAAAAGGTAGGTGAAAATCAAGTAATTTATAAAATCATTATATTTTAAAATTTGAAGGAGGGTTGAAACCACCTTCTGGATATGGGGAAAAATGTTTGGACAAAAATAATTGGTAAGTGCTTCAGCTACACAAAAAGTTGTTGTTGTCGTTCCTGTAGTTAGGTGAAGGTTATGATGATGGTGGTGATTGATAAAGTGGTAAATAAATCACTAAGAATCATTTAATCCATTGATTCCATGGTTGTAACTATTTCAACCACAACTAGAATGCAGTCATTGTTTCAGTATGTAATGTAGTGTATAGCTTAATCAGCATTCTTATTCTTAATGTTTGTCAAAAAAATTATTTTGCTTAGGACCATGTTTTGTAGTTCAGAAAAAGTGGGAGCAAAAGATTGTTTATTGCTATGGTAACAATTCCTCAAATATGAAGTAAATATTAAAAGTCATTGCTGAAATTATAGATAC